AGAATATATAATTTATTATATTATTTTGTAATTACTATTTATGAATATAAAGATAATTCAGATTATACAGTTGCTTATTATTTACAATAGTAAATTTAAATAAAATCATATAATCTGCTTTGAGAACTGAATTTCACTTAACCATTAAAAAAATGTTTTAATGGCTAAGTGAAACGATTAACAGAAGTGAGGCAATCAGCAACACCGAATTCACGCACTTGTTCCACAACGACATGATCATTCAAAGCAGCCTATAACATGTAGCTGCACTGCGCTGTGTTAAAATAGCACTTGCCTGTTTTAAAGCAGCATGGCAGCGGGGTTGGAACTAGATGATCTTAAGGTCCTTTCCAACCCTAACTATCCTATGATTCTATAACTAAGATATCAAAGTGAACCATGAAGAAATATGAGGAAAATACTAGTCCTAAACACACACACACACACACACACTTTTAGCATGTTTTTCTACACTGACTTTTTCACTCACTTGCTGAATTACATCAGGATAAAGCATAGGGAGTCTCTCTGCAATAAGGGCCAATCCACCCATTCCTGCAAAAACTTGCAGTGGAGACTGAATGGGACAGGTTTCAAGAAGCGATTCATCTAGAACTGCATCCATACACTCATCCCCAGGACTGATGGCTTCATCTTCAGGGCAAGGTCCCAGTAAATCCACATGCTCTACAAAAACACAGAGGTAAGAGAAATGAAGACATCATCATCAATACTGAGTTTATTTCTTCATCCTCACTTAAAAATGGACTTCAAAAGTACCAGTTCCTTCTTAAGCAAAACCTGAGACAAGAAGCTGAAATGAAAGAAATATCAAAAGAAAATTAAAGTATCCATGGTACCTTTTGCCAGTGATGGTAGATCGTAATTTGGGATTATATATATAGGGCTACATGTTAACAATTACATTCTTAAGTTTTATTAAAACTTGATCTATACCTTCAAGATGTTTTTTAACAGTCTTTCCTCTAGATGAGAGTAGGTTTGTTACTCTCCAATAAGTTCATAGCTTGAGAAAGGAAAGATAACCTTACTTAGATTAGTCTCGCTTTTTCCTCAAAAATGCTGAAAGAATTTTTTTTTAGTTTCTCCCTTCCCATCACTTAACTCGCCATCCATAAACTTGTATCACCCACCATGCACCACACCTGTCATTCACATCTCCTCTCTGTGAGGTGTCCAAATGCCCCTCTGCCAAAGCTGTGAAATTTAATGCTACTCTTCCTCATAAAAAAGGTCAAGATCTCTATTTTTAACTTTCTACTAGCCTCCATCCTCCCAGTTTATAACTGTGCACCCAGTTTATGACTAAGCACCCTAATATCTTGTACAACAGACAAAAAAAGATCATTTTGTACAGCAATGCATGCAGGTTATATATACAGCACCCTACTGCAGTTAATTTTGCCAAAAATCAACCCTCTTTGCTCGCTACCACAAGAAAACTTCAGTGAATATGCAATATATTTAATCTAAAAAAATCTGTATTGCAGTTATGTTGTTAAATACTACAAGGCAGCGGTCCTCAAAGCCTTCACAACATAGCCACACCAAAAAGCAGCATAGATCAAGTGGTCTCACTGTCTTTTAGTTGTGATCAGTCTGATACACAACTACCAAAACAAACTTTTCTTTTCTTTTTCCCCAAGTTTTAACCACAGGTATTTTATCTTTCCCTAATTTGAAAGGGAATAGGAAACAGCAGACCCTTCCACATCCTAATTCTCAACTTTATAATGTGCAAGAAGCACCAGATAACAAACACATCATGGATATGCTGTGGGGGAAGCACACCGCTATGGAACATTATGATCAAAGGATCAGATTTAATAAGCTCAAATCAGGGATGTGTAGGAGTATGTGCATCAATTCACACTAATTCAACCCGACAGACTATGAGAAATAGAAAAGGACACAGACTTCCACAGCAGGATCATCCTTCTAAGAAAAAGCCCAAACATAAAACTTTCAGTAGAGAGAGCTTTTACGCCTACTGTTCTTACGCATACAGACAGAAACCACCTCTGTGGAAGTTTTCTATATCACCACAAATAGTGGGTGAGGATGTCTGCAAACATGCTGGTCTCAGTAAGAGACCACCACCTTGTTTCAGACACATGGAAGACTCCACCATGCTAGGCTAAACATGACTTACAATTTCATTGCTTGTATGACATGAATTGATCAGACCACAAGAAAGGTTAGATTTTCATTGATGAAAATTTTGAAATAAAGATTTTGAAGGAAGACTCGCCCCTCTGCTTTACAGTGTAAAAATCTGTAAACCTTCCAAAGAAGGAAAAAAAATCAAGTGAGAAGTTTTAAAAAGAAGCTCCTGTCTTAAAACAGTTGAATAATTAAATTGTAACTCCATGCTGTGGTTGGCAGATCACCTTAGCTTAATTTCAAGGACCCATTCCTCTAAGTCATTCATTCCCTGGAGGAACAATATCAAAACATTTCAAAGCAGATTCCTGGGATACAGCTCCTCCCTCCCCCTTCCCCAGCATTATTAGTAATAACAAGCAATTAGAAAAAACATTAGCAAGAAACAGACCATATTAGAAAATGTTAAAAATGTTTTTAAAAGCTAGTTAGAACACCTGCTTAGATGGGCTTGAGAAAGATCCCTGTTTTCAAAGAAGCATTTAAGTACCCCAGATGCCACAACAGAAAAATTCACAGGCTCCTAGAACTCACATGGTTTCAAACAGTTCCTACATTACTTAATCTGCCCTGGTTATCAGCATAAATACTTGCTACAGAAAACCAGTACACTTGTCAAGAAATAAAGTACATGGTATCTATATAATCATATAAATGTATCATATATATGACACTACAATGAAGAAAAGTGAAACCAGAACAACCATATTGGTGCATCTTATAGATATAATCTAAAGACGGGCAATGAATTTGTTCTTTATTGTGAAGTTTAAAAGTAGTCTTATAGAGAATGGCTCAGGAACATCACTCAAGAAAATACAGAAAATTGCTGTTTCTTAACAAAAAAAATCAAACCCATTTTTGTCCCAAAGAAAAGCATTTTAAAAGGAAGATGCCAAAAAATTAAGAACACTCACCTTTTTCTGTGTGAAGACGTTTAAATGAGTCTGTTTTTGATAAGCTTGGATCCGAGATGACTTTGGAGCCAAGCTTAACTGTCAAATCTATTGATCGGTATCCTTGAGGGAGTTTACGGTCATACAGCAGAGTCAGAAGCTGGGCAAGTGTCATTTCAGCTGGTAACGGTTGGCCTAAGCAACAGTGGCATCGAGTCAGAGAGGAAAATGATGACTGGGTTATTTTAACATACATGTCCAGGTGCTGCTCATCACTTGTACCACACATGCCAAGTGGACTAAATACTACCTGGCTCCAAACCAAGGCCTTAATTTTACCATTTGTTCTCTTGGGAAATGGGGCCCCATCAGTTTGGAACCAACCATCAAAGAACCATGCCAACATTCCCTAAGGCAGCTCTGTGCTGAGAGCCCAAGCACTCGGCATATCTAACAAATGGCTATAATTTTATGAGCATTTTAGTCGGGTACTGCCTGACCTTACTATTAAACCCCACTCCTGCATTATCCTTGAATTGTGGTGACATAAAGGTATGTGAACACAAGGTAAAATGCCTGAAATGGAAAAAAGTGGGGGAAGAAAGAAAGAAACCTGCAATTCTTTTTCAGTCCTATTAGTCCCAAACATAGCTCACTACTCTTGTGTTGGGATACAAATCAGCAAGAAAAAAAATTAATGGCACTGCCAGGAATAATTTTTACAGCAGCAATGCAGACTTGAAATGCACATGCAAAACAGCCCAAACTGATTACTCAAATCAACATTTTGGCCGCTCTGCTGTTTACAAAGAATATGTTCTTCCCTAAAATTACAAGTTACCCTCAAGACAGAACAATTTTTCCTGGCAACAAGTAGTGAATAACTTCTCATAACATATGAAGTGAAATGTTACAGAGTTGGATCATATAATACACTTAGCATGCCCACTTTGTCTTGACTGTAGCAACCTGTCTTTAGTAGCAACCTGTTTGTTCAGTGGAAGATGGTGTCTAAAGAAATTAAAATTAAAAATGTCTCGCCAATGTACCACTAAGTTTTCTACCTTTTCTTTCACCATCGATTCTGCTTTTCATGGCTTCCCTTTTTGTAACAGCTGGCTGATGTACAAGACATGATCAACCCAATCACACAGAATGGTCCACATTACCATTAGTAGACAGTCAACCTTTGACAGGTAGATACTGAAAACACACACTGAGTTTTGACCTCCTCTCCAAAACAGCAGCATTAACTTTATCAATTTTAGACAGTTTAATCCAAGTATATGATCCCTCTAATAATTGCCAGAGGTTAGCCTCAAATAATTCTGTAGTAAGCTGCAAATGTATTTTTTTATTCGGTGATTTGATGAGAAGTTTTCAACTTAATTCCATCAGCTTGTTCCTTGTTTCTATACTGTAAACCAGATAAGCTGCTCTTCTGCATAATATTCAAGTGTTTCACCCATGTCCCTGTCCTTTATCTTTAATCTAAGATTAAGAATTCCAGTGTCACACCAATCTCTCTCTATAGGAGATCACAGAATCATAATCACAGAGTATCTCAAGTTGGAAGGGACCCATAAGATCTACCTCTCTATGCCCCAACTACAACATTGCCACCAGCTTTGTCCAGATACCTGATAAAATGTATCTGCTGTATGTAAACCACGACTGGCTGCTTAAGACATGCCATTTTTGAAAACACAAGTATTACAGAATTCAAGAATATTCCTGAACTGGCAAATCAACCTTCCAGAGAGGAATGCAAGTTGACTGCCCACTTGGAAAATGAAGGAACAGGGCACAAATACCAGTTCAGCTCTGCCTTGCAAGGTGAAAGAAAATCTGAGTCACCTTACAAACGCATCCCCCTTTTATTTCTGAGTGAAGGTGGAAATAATTTTGAGATTTTGTTTATGAACAAGGAACTACAAAGAAGATCAGCATAATTGTTACTTTTGTCAATCCAGTACAATGTTAAAATGTGCCATTTCCAGTTGAAAGCTGTTACCAACCCAGAAGGGCTCTATAGTTCAAGATGCTCAATAAAAAGAGAAAGATGACCATTAGCATTACATCTACTTTCTGATGACATACCAGCCACTGAAAAAGATCATAATTTTGAAGTTTAAAATTAGTTGTTAAAGTCACCTGGTAGAAGTTTATGGTATAGATGAAAGACTGGAACACTAATAGTCTTGCTGGAAGATTCTCCTCCTGAGGAAGAGGTACCTACTTTATCTGCCATCACTCTTCCTCGCCTTGATGGTGGACGTGGAGGGGTGGATGAAACGGCTCTTTTTGACTGAGATTTCAAACCTAGTACAGAAGAAAAAAAAAAATCAAAGTCTTTCTAGTATTTAAGAACTTCAGTCAGTCAAGATGCAACATACTCAATAGCTTCAATGATAGCAAAAAAATCCTTCAGCACTGAGTAATTACATATCAGAACAGCATTCATGTACAAAATATTTGGATGTAATCCTGGTATTTTTACAGTTGCAAGGCTGCACGTGCTCCCGGGCCCCAAACATAAACCAAACCACAACTTTACTAGATCATATCATTCATAAAGAAAGCAAAAGCTATTTTGATTCTGCTCTTAAAGAGCCTGTCCAGCAATGGGCCCTACAGTTAAACTTTTTTAGGTTGTTTTTTCTACTGAAAGTAAAAAAGGCAAAAAAATCCTAAATTGACAGACATTTCAGCACAGACTATAGATAGCAATCACTTCTTTGGTCTACAAACGTTGACTTCAGCTGCAGTAGTGACAGTAGCACATGATGAAAGGCATATTTAAACATACTTTCAAAGTTGCCTCGGTCAAAACATTTAAAGTAAGCACTGCATGATAATTAAAAGGCAAACTAGGTATGTAAAAGCTTACTGAGCTTATATAGCAGGACTGCCATATTTTGGGACAGGTTAAGTTGACTTAAGGCACAGCGAAAATAATACTGCTATCCTGTACCCTTCTATGCAGGTGACAGACCAGTAAGTTAAGATCCAAAGCAGCTGCAAGACCAATAACATCCACACCTGAAACACTATAATAGACTGTGGTTTCAGCTGGTTAGTAGGAGCAGCTCTAATATACAACATACTCTCCAATAGTCTCAGTATCCTGAACTAGCTTTCCTCAGGAAGATCAGGCTCCAAATACCATCTCCGCTCTCTGTTAATTTTACCAGTAGGGCACAAGTTAAATACTGGCTGTATGAGGCTCTGAGGACATTAAAAAAAAAATAAAAATAAAATATCATCCCAGAATATATGAAAAGATAAAGACAAAAGAAGAAAAGATTTCACAAACACGAAGTAAACTCAAATGCAAATGAAGTTAGCCTATATTTCAACTGGTTTACTTAACTGGGAAAAATGCAAACAAAAAGGAAATACTTAAGTCTGCTTCTTCCTAAATACGGAATGGGCTACGTATCATCAGGCAGTATGACCAGAGATGCAGCTGGGATAAGACATGGCTGCTGACGACATTATGCCCTGTCTTCAAGCTGGGCATATCATTATTTTTTTCATAGATTCTTTATTCATGTTTTAAACTTTCATTTGGACCTATTATTATTTTAGATATACCAAAACCTGTTTACCCTGTTCAAGTGGCACCTACTGCAAATATCTTTCCAGATAAAGATGCTGTCATTAACATCAGCTGTGTTGCTTTAAATATATAACAAGATCCATGAGACTGCTGCCCTGTTCAACACTTGAGTTTAGAGTTATATCTAAAAACCTGAAATAAAAAGCTTAAGAAATATTGGTGTCAGAAGTCAAAGGATATCACCGGAACTTCAAACTGAAAGCCTAATGATCTCTACAGCCATCATCTGAACTGTAATCTTGTATCACTGCAAAATTACTATGTTCAATCCATAACCTCCAGAGTAGTTTTAGAGGAAAAGTGTTTACATGACTGATTTCAGGAGCATCTTCACATTAGGTTTTAGAAGGTGAATGCTCGGAAGAAAAACCTGTGTTTGTGGTTTCCAAGTGGAATAACAGTTTTATGCTTACATCTCCACCTGATGGTTTTAAGCAGAGTACCACCAGTTGTTATGCAAAGTATATGGATCTTTTTATTTCCAAAGAATATTGTGGGAGTGATTGAACTCTGATGAACCAGTCACAGCAATAAGGTAAAGATAGTAATACCCCTACCACAGTAACAGTATACAAATACTATTATGTTGCCATGTAATCCAAGCTCCAGATGTATGCCTACAAAATCCTGTAAAATGCACTAGCAACAGCATCCACAACATAATCACTGATACATTCAGGTAGAAATTTATCAAAGTACATACTGTGCTAGAGGCAGCTGTTCTACCAGGAACCAATGTTTGCTGCCTAACAGCCCATTAGATTAACTGCGCACTACAATTTTTCTAACAATCATTAGTAGTAAAACCATTGTTGGTAGATATTCCCCACTCAAACACACCCCTTTTTTAACATCAGAAAGATGTTTTTAGATGGTGGAAAAAAAAGACATACCAGAAGCAACGACAACGCTATAATTGTCCTGAAATCCATTTTCTGCTTTAACTTTTTCTTTCTCTTCATAGTTCTTTTTTTCTTTATCTTCCTTCTGTTCATTAATTAGCTTAGCTGTAATACTGGGTGTATCTATACAGGGTTAAAAAAGGGGCAAGAAAGGCATTTCAAGATACCAAGTTGATTTTATTAATTTCTAGGCTGTTAACAAGGCTGTTCTCAACTACTTTAGTGGCCCAGAGTTCCACCCCAGGCAGTAACAGTCTGATAAGTATCTATGAAGTAAGGTATTACGATAATTCTGGTCTTCTTCCCCCAAAAATCTCTCCTCTGACAATTTAAAACTGTAGCAGTTTAAAACCATCACCTGATAAGTCAAGTGTATTCATGTTAGAACACTAATACAATCAAACAAAAATGAGATTTAGCAAAAACCACAACCAACAAAACCCCACCCAAATCCCCAACAACCACAAACCAGACCACCACACAAAAACCCCCCCACAACATAACAATAAAACCTCAACCAAAAAAATCCAAAACTTTTTTTTTGGGGATACACCTGCAGACTTATTAAAATTAATTGTTGTATCTAGCTCTGGGTGTTTAGTGTTATATACTGACCCAATTTCAGAACTGGCAAGTGTGACTGTTCCTTTGAAACCGAAAGGTGTACATTACACATACAAAACTTGTGTTGCTTGCTTAAGTGAACATTAGATTACTGCAGTTCAACTGGTTTGGTTCAATCATTAGTGTAGATCACAAATATCAGCAGGCAACTATTAGATGACCCATGATCGGTGACAATGGATCGTTTCACACCTTGTAAGGTGCAACACTGGCACCAAAGCCAAATCATTCTCTAATTGCTTCTGAGTAGTAACTTGTTTCCACACAGCCACAGCAGCCTTAGGCTATAACCACAGACTCAAGACCTAGAAGTACCATCCAGCTGAACTTTAACTGTGTATTACCAGTGGGTGAGGTGCTGAAAGAGATATGGTTTGACAGCTTGGAAATACATTATTATTTGTGCCTGAAGACATTGGTTATATCTGTGTCAGACACGGTGCAGACCAAAAGAAAATACACAGTGCAAAACTGTGAAACTGCTGCTACAAAAAATTGTCATTATTACTACCATTACTATTGTTATTTAACTTCAGAGTTGCTCTACTTTGGTCTGAATGCCCATTAATTGATGGAGAATTTAAAGGTCATTAAGAAAACTAAGGAAGCTTAAGCAATGGTATTTTTACTATTCAGGCGATACTCAGATTTCTTGTTCCATTTTTCTGACCATTCAAGTCCAGTAAGTTAAGACTAAGGTGAATGAAATACAAAACAATTGGTACTCGTCCTAGGCAACCCTATCTGCAGTGATACTGCACATTTTCTTCCTATGGTGAAGGGATGCGAGTAGCAGATTTAACAATGATTTTAAACATCTCTCCCCACACGTTTTTTGTTTTAAAAAGGCTAGGACATGACATGAACATACTTATTGTGATTTATTTTTACAGCAAGCAAGACGTGATCAATTTGAGACATTGACAGCTTAGTTAACAAAAAAGAAGTTAACCCAAGGATTAGACTGACACAAGACCTTCACGGCTTCCTATTGTTGCAGTGGCAGTCTTTTCTTCCTTTCCTTCCCTTCCCTTCCCCAGTCCGTCCCCTCTTTCTCTCGACCCAAACACATAGTTTGCTCCTTATGTATTTAAGTCTGCTTTACTACGTCCTAATCATGGACTTCATGTAATGACATATAAGTATTCCAAAGCTTTTAATAAGTCAGAGAAATGACTTTAGATGAGGGATGGAAACATAAGAGAAACTGAACTTTTCCAGAATTAATTCTTCCAATTTAAAATGAGGGTTAAGCTGAGGAGTAATGATTCTGCAGCAAAACCCAAAGTTATGGTGCCCTACAAAGTCAGCATCTGTGATCAGCTTCAATTACAGGCAACATAGTATATCACATCATCACATTCCCCTCCCCAGTCCCTATTAGCACTGGCTGTCAAGCTGACTAGAATACACCACTAAGGCAGCTATTCGGTACAGTTTATGTCACTGCTCAGCAACTGACTCCTACCTCATATGCAGTGACTATCCCACCCATTACAGTAACTCTGACTATAAACTGCACAAGGATCTGAAGACCTCAGTCACATTCCACACATGACTGTCTGCACAATATGTGAACAAAGTAAGTGAATATAGAATTCTATCAGAAATAGTGAACTATTCACTGGTAAATAAGCTTCAAGCATTTTTCACTGTTTTCCATTCGCTATTTTTTAATCAAAATCCCAAAGCACATCTTGTTCTGTCTAGTATTCTCCCAAACACCATTACAGTACTTCTATCACCTTGTTAGGTAACACTGTTACTGCCCTAATGCATTTGTTAATAATTTCAATGTAAAGATTTTCAGGAGATATTAAAAAAAAAAAAAAAAAAGGTACTAGTTCCTCTGAACTCCAGGAAGATCTGCTTCAGAAATTAAAAGTCTCCAAAAAATTACACATACCAACACATCTGCAGACAAGAATATACATACCCAGTCAGATGTGCGTGCAGCTAAGCATGCACACTTCAGTGCACATCTGCAATATGGCAGTTCTGTTCTCTAAAGTATTAAGTAAACACTAAAGTTCAAGGTGGGATTCATTTTACGATTAAGGCATCTACCGTTCTCAGGTGTCGAGAGATGCGGTCGACAGAGCTCCTTATGGGGGGGTTCATCTCTCTATGTATATTTAAGTAGTATAACTGAGAGTACTGAACTTTAAAAGTCAAAGAAATAAAATTCATGCCCTAACATTAACCTCTCATTGTATATAACTGTAAAATTAATCTCAAATTAAATTACGGTTTTCAATCTCCACTTAGTAAGCAAACTCAAATGTTTATGTCATAGGCAAACATATTCACTGAAATTAGATGGAGCCTTCATTAATGTCCTTTTCATAACGACATGATTTCACCTCCATCTTGAGATAAATTTAAAAGTTCCAGGATATTTAACTGACAGAATCTGAGAATATTGAAGCGACTGAATGAAAGAAAGGGCATTTTAAAGACTGATATTTGCAGTATCATTTGCATGGTCTTGCAAATATCCTATGGGAGATTTGAGAATACATTATTACTAAAAAAAAAAAAAAAAACCAACCAAAAAAACCAAAAAACCAAAAACCCCAACCAAACAAAAAATCCCAAACTGACCAACCAAAAACCCCAAACAAACAAAAAATGAATGAGAAAAATCTCACCTTCACCACCCCAGCTTTACAGAAAGAAAAAGAAGTATTTAACCACTGAAATGCAACACGTAAGGAACATGCAAAAGCCTAACATTTAAACCACTGTTTCATATTTGCCATTTACCAATGAACACAGCAAATATGTATGTTAGACTTATCTGGTTTATGCAGGTTTTTTTGGGTTCGAGGTTTCTTATTTGAAAATGTATTTTAACAAAAGCAAAACATGAACTATTGCAAACTTGCCTGACACACGATCAAGAACCTCTGCTAGAGTTGTTGAGACAGGCAAGTGAAGGGTACGAAATTTGTGTCCAGCTCCATACATTGGATGTTGAATTACATGACTAGTAGCATTTATTCTACCTTTGTACAGCTGAAAGGAAAAAATAAATTTTCAGAAATAAGTTAAAACATGTTCTTATAAGCCCACCTCAGCAAAATAAAGCTAAATCTTTAGCACGCTAAGAATGAAAACTGACATATCCTTCAACTTTGAAGGTACATAGTTAAAATGTATTAAATTAAGATAAGTTTATTTTTTTAACTCAAAAGTTCAAAAGCCTAGAATATTTTTAGGATCAGAACCATATAAAATATGATATCATATTAAAAAAAAAGCAACAACACAACAATTATTTTACATAGTTGTATATGAGAGAAAAATGGAGTGAGACTTGCAATTACTTATGAAATTAAAACTTACTTCTGAAATTAAATTAGGAAAATCACAATATACTTGGGAATAGAGAAAGACATCATTTCTCTAGACCTAATATCTACTTTTTGATATTAAGATGGAAATTTAAGTCACTACTAGTTAAAATATTTCAAATATTTTATCTTGACATGTTTTATCTTGAGCTCTGTTTGCACCTTCTATCATTCTTTGCTTGCAGTACTTTTTACAGTTACTTACACTTATCCCCTTCCTCATATCATCAGGAGACTCCTTTACTAACATACACATACAGGACCAATCTATTGTTATGCAGTATTATAAAAAAATTTAATACTTGTTGGCAATCAGAATTTAGCTCCTATAATACGGTTTTGGTAAGAACCTGAGAGATAAAAATGGGGAACCAATCTTTGAAAGGTTATGTTGATGGATATACTAAAAGTATATGCTGCTCATCCACGTTATCTTTTAAGGTTTCTCTGTGGATGTTAGAGGAAGAATCATCTCAGTAAGAACAGAAGACTGTTTCCTGGTGATTTTAATAGAAGAAACAGAATTATCTTATAACTTCTTTTCAACGTATTTTTTCTGCTTTTACATATCTAGTAACATTCTGTAAAAATCTGTTGAATGTGAAACAATTTGGTAGAAGACAGATGTTACCTTCATATTATCAATGGCCATGTTAATTAATCTCAGCCAGGACAAAACAAAACATTTAGATGTTAGTGCTAAAACCGTATTTGCTCCTCCTTTTCTATTTTATACTACCTAATCTGGTTCCCCTGCCATATATCTCATGTAGTACTTTACTTCTAAGATACAGTAAGAACGGTGGAAACAGAAGCAGAAAATAACTATTCTTTGTATGGGAGTAGCAGATATTTCAATAACTTCTGGTTTCCCTTCCTTTATTCAGTGTTCAGCTGAGAGCAGAGAACTTCAGACATTAATTATAATTCTGTCTTCAAGTGAAGCAGCATGTGGAAGTATAAAAGCATACATCTGTTTTATAAATTAATTCAAGTATTTATCACTCAAAAATTTATTTGTGGTGTTTTGGCTAATGCTGAAGGATCTCTGCCAATTTTGAAGCATTAAAACTACAACTGTTCCTTAATGAATCTGATAATGAAGAACTGCTGGAAGGACTAAAATATATCCATTTTTTCTGGTAAGGCATAAGGTTACTATTAAAAAGCCTTCCATAAGATATATTTCAGTTCTCAGTTCTTGCAAAAGCGGTATATTTTCAAAAAGATGGCTTTGTCTTGCAACAGTGTCTTAAATTTTCTTTCATGAAAAATGCTGAGTTACAACTCAGCAATAGGTTCACCAACCCATTTCTTTTCAAGATTCTACAGTCTGTACAGTAGGAAAAGCTGCCACCTGACATTTCAAAGTTGAATATACACCCACTCCCCCCTTTTTTTTTTTAAGGCTAAGTTTATTCCATGTTCACCATATAGGTATCAAAAATTCTTACTGGACACGGGGATTGAAGAAACAAAGTCACTTTTTCATCCTCTAGCATAAGCTGCAAAAAAAGCCTCCTAATAAATCCTGAAATGTTTCCAGAGGTTGGGAGGTTCCCACGCTGAGGAGAGGACTGGAACAATTCACAAAGAACCTGGGAATGCAAAATGACATCAGATTGAAAATATTTCTATATTTAGGTCTCTAAAATATAGATCTACACAGCCATAATAGGCAGTGCCTCAGATCTACCTTCCAGTTATTATTCAGAACAGAAATGAGCATCACTGAAGAAAACACCAGCAGCAAGTTTGGGGTTTTTTAATAAAGAAGTCCAAAACACTCACTACAGCACCAAAATAATTATAAATACACAGACTACTCAAAGATAAAAACATGCAGATTAAGTATTTAGAAAAAAGCTTTCAAATTCCTGAAGCAAAAATTTTCCACTGCATAATGCAGTATTACTACCATAAGGAACTGCACTCGTTTTTTACTGAAGTCTCTTCCCAGGGGATCATCATTCTTAGTGCTGAAAAATCTTTTTTTTTGATTACACTTTTATTCAACTAAGCCTGCAAGGTTAACAAATGTAAGGAAATAGCTCAATTTGCACTAGAATGTCAAATGCAAAGCCTTATTCTGCAATAGACTCTGTTTCACAGGGTATATGGTTGCACGAGCAAATTTACCAAGAAATCTTTTTAAGTTGCTAATATAAAAGATGTGCATGAAGCTTGATTTTCAAATTCCATTTCAGAAGTTTATTACTATCCAATTAAGCACAGTATTTAGGGTTCTGGTCTAAAGTTTATTTCTCTAAACCAAGAGGAATACAAATCTATACATAGAACTGGATGACCATGTCAAAACATTTTTATATTTTTCAAAGTCAGAGCAACAAGCTATCAGTTTTAATACAGACCTGTTTTTGTAAGCTGTCATTGACTGTAAAAGTTAAAGAAAGCTAAAAAAAGTAAGTTTTGAAAGTTGGCTGTAGTTACTAATAAACTAAAACTTTTTTATGTCCTTACCCCTTACCTGTGCCATAAGTCTCTGGTTATTGGGATGGCAAGAGATGCACTGTAGGAAGAAAGCAACTGTTGCATTTTCAATTGCTGTCCGCTGCTGAGTGGTCAACCCTGCTGTTACCGTTGAAGAAAGTAAGCTAGATCTTGTACTGGTCTGTTGTGCTGTCACATTGTGTCCTCCAGAAGTAGCACCAGAATGGCACAACAGAAATAAAAGTGCTGTCCACAATGGATTGACTTCAGAGCCACCCAACCAATCCTTCATCATGTGGCTGTTGCCAACTTCTGTCAAAAACCTGAGAACAGGAGCAACCAGGTCTGCTGTGATAGGCATTTTATTAAAGTGCTGTGGAACATGATGCCTCCTGAGCCTGTCCTGGGTAGTATCCAATGATTGTGCAGTGCAGTCAGAGCTAGAAGTATGGTTAAAGCAAAAACTAGCAAGACTTCTTACAAGCAGTGAAGGCAAACCTGAGTCCAATAATTGCTTGATAGCTTCAGGAGACTGAGAGGAGGCAGCAAGAGTAGCCAGGTGAGACTCTGTTAGTGCAAGAGGGGCTTGTGCATTTTTAGAGTCATCTGTTAAAGATGAACTAAGGTCCTGCTTTTTGCTGTCATCAGTCATGGACAGTCTGTGTTGACACTGCATTGGAGGAGGAGTGATACCCATCCATCCCATGAGTAAGGAAAAATAATTTGGGTGGATGTGGCACATTGAGCAAAGCAAACTATCAACAGCTTTCTTCAAAACCATGTTGCAGGGAAGAGACATGGACCAGTTAAACAGTGACCTGCAAAAGAAAGAAAGTCATGTCAATACATAGTTTGCCACTCATGTTCTCTTTTCATTGGTTCATAAAACATCTTTCCAAATTTATGATTAAGTATTGTAGAAGCTGTTGTAAACCACACTGTGCTGTGCTTGAAAGCCTCTTCTGGATCACAGTATCAGCAAGACATTCACTA